CTGGTTGTCATGGTCAGATGTACCAGAAACGTATGATTAAAGCTTTTAACAAGAAGGTCAGACACTAGGTATATCAAGTGGGTAATCTAGTAATCAAGCACATTATCCTGCCACAAGGTGATCCCAGGGGAAAATGGACTCCCACGTATGAAGGACCATTTATGATCAAGAACATATTTTCTGGTGGAGCCATGATCTTAACCACTATGGACGGTGACGACCTTCCGCACCCTGTAAACACAAACATAGTTAAAAGATACTACGCATGAATAGAGACCCGCTAGGTTGACTGGCCTAGGAAATAATAAGGGCATCCCGGCGAACGTGTGTGGTTTGATAGAATTATATAGAGTTTATTAAAATATGTCAAATTTATAACAAAAATACCACCTATGAAAGACATTTATTGTCCTGGGGTTAATATGGAACTTAACTTCCGTATTATCCACTGATATTGAGAAAAGAAACACACTATCATGAGTTCGAAACGTGTCAAAGGGTTAGTCTGAAATTTAACTTACGAACTCACCCTTTTTTGTTGCATAATTGAGATGACTCACTTTCGAAATATTTTGGTGTGTATAAAGGGAGATCGGAGGTGAATTGTCATATTACTCCAAAATTATTTTTAAATTTATCAAGAGTGACATTTCACAACTAAAATCCGAATAGCAACCCCAAAATCTTTCCTGCATTGTTAGTTATAACTCATAAAACGCAATGACATATGATATCTTAATTTTACCCTTATCTAATTTTTTTAAATATCTATGTTATTCAATTATGTCAATTTTAACTTTTTTAGGGGGTTTCTTAGGCCATCTCATAGGGGTGAAAATACCCTATGCAATTTCGAAAATGCAACTGGAAAATCGAAAATGCATATCTGGTATGCACCCACACGCATATAATTGTTTCGCTTTTGAGATATGCCCCATTTTACGACTTAATTTATTCCGGAAATGTATTTTCGAAAATTCCCAGAAATACAGTTCTAGTTCCTAGTTTTATAAAGGCCTTTGACTACCAAGGTTACATTTTCAGCCATTAATTGTGTAATTTTGTGGGGCTCATTAACTACCAAGGTTTATACATTTGTTTCGTTTTAATTTGAAATGTATTTTCAAATCATCAGTATGTATTAGTCTACGAGCACTTAATAAAAAATAACAAAAGGTTAGAATATGTTGAAAATAATTTATATTTTAGGAATGTCTTGTTGACTAAGTATGTTAGAGGGTATTTTAGTATTTTATTATATCCTAATCTTGTGTATAAATAGCCTAGTTGTAGGTAGGTCAATGTATCCATTACTCCTTATTTTGTAGTCGTCATTTAATTTATTCCTTTTGTCTTTCATATCTCCTTGTGCATCAACAATTGGTATCTAGAGCTTCGGTTCAAAATCCACGGGGAAACACGAGAAATACGAGTGAACAGTGAGGCGTTGTGTGATTGAGAATCACATTTTTCTGATTCTGTGGGATTTGGGAAACACTGTGTGTTAGTGAGTTTTAAGTGAACTGCACAAGGTTGAAGATGAATGGAAACGACGATATCAGTTCCAAGCTTCTAGTGTTTGATGGCAAAAACTGGAATCGTTGAAAGATCCAGATACGTGTGTTATTCGGTTCTCAAGATGTGTTAGATCTTGTCACCGATGGCTATGCTTCATTAGCAACAGACACGACAGAGGCACAAAAGACAACGTCGAAGGTGATAAGGAACAAAGATCAGAAAGCATTGTTCTACATCCATCAGTGTGTGGATGCAAATGTGTTTTAGAAGATTGCTGACTCTAAAATAGTAAAGGTTGCATGGGACACACTTGTCAGATGTTACAGTGGTGACACATCAATGAAGAAGGTGAAGCTTCAGTCCCTAAGAAAACAATATGAGAATCTCAACATGAAGGACAACGAGAAGGTTTCTGAGTACATCTCTAGAGTAACTCTGATTCAGTAATGAGATGAAATCTTGTTGAGAAACCCTTTCTGAATAAGTAATCATAGAAAAGGTATTGAGATCTTTAACTTCTCAGTTTGATTACATTGTGGTAGCAGTTGAATATTCCAAAGATATGAGCACCATAAGAGTTGAAGAGCTTTAAAGTAGTCTAGAGGCACATGATTTGCGTATGACTAAGAGAACTTCTGAGAGGGAAGTAGATCAGCAACCTATAAAAGCAACTTCTGGTAAGTATCAGAAGCAGAATTGGTCAGAAGCCAGAAAGAAAACTAACGACGGTCAGAGGTCAGAAGCTTCAACTTCTGATGGGAAGAAAAATGTCCAGAAGGGAAAGGATAAGTTTGACAAGAAGAATGTTCAATGTTACTGTTACAAGAACTTTGGTCACTATGCCAAAGATTGTTGGTCAAAAAAAGAAAGGAAGTCAGAAGAAGCAAATATAGCCAGAGGAGAGTCAGATAATGAACCTGTGCTATTAAAGGCTTATAAATATGATGAGGAACCTGTGAGATTGTCATTTTCTGGTTCTGAAGGGGAAGATGATTCTGAATATTCTGACTCTGAAGGAGTGTTTGAATATGAGTCAGAATTAGAAGACGACGTTGAAGATTCTGAAGATGAGTCAGAATATGAGGTTCCTAAATATGATTCATAGTTAGAAGATGACTCTGAAGTTGAAGACAAGTCAGACTCTGAAGGTGATTCTGAGTGTGAAGAATAATAAGAAGATGAGTCATAATATGAATAAGATTCTACTTCAGAGTCAGAGGATGAAGAATCTTCTGAAGAATCTAAAGATGAGTCATATGGGGAATCTGATTCTGATCCAGATTTTGAATCTGGTGGTGATCATGCTTCTAGAAAGGAAAACTCTGAAGACGTAGGTTCTGGAGGAAGATCTTCTAAAGATGATCATGTTTCTGTTGGAAATCATGACTCTAAGGATGAACCTTCTGAAGGAGGAGCTTCTGAAGGAAATCCAGCCTTTGACGATGATCATGATTCTAAAAGTTGAACATCTGAAGGCAGAGCTTCTGAAGGTGATCCAACTTTTGAAGATGGTATTTCTAAAGGTAGTGATTTTGAACGAGGTCCATAAGCTAACAAAGGTGGAGCTTCTAGTGGTAGTCAAACTTCTAAAGAAAGTCCAGAAGGAGATGTTGTGCCAAAATCAGAAGGAGATTCTGAACAAGTTCAGAGGCCACATAGAGTCAGAAATATACCAAGGAGATTTACAGAGTTTGATAAGCTACAAGATACTGAAGAGACTCTGAGGTATGGAGTGTTATTCCCTTATGGTGTTAGATCAAATGCAGAGCTGATATGCTATCCAGACTTTGATTTGTATGAAGACGGAATTGACAGAAGAGATACTTCTGGATATTTTTCTTTGTATCTGGAAAATCCTATTTCTTAGTGCTCCAAGAAGCAACTGGTGGTTCCGTTGTCAACCTGTGAAGCTCTCAATAAGAAAGTGTGGTTGAATTCCATGAAAGAAGAACTTTAGAATTTAGAAAAAACAAGATTTGGGAGTTAACCGAGCTTCCAAAGGAGAAGAAATCCATCAGCGTCGGATGGGCTTTCAAGCTGAAATTTGCTTTTCTGAATGGGATTGCACACTGCAGCAACCAGAAGAAGCTAGTAGATGTTCTGACAAAGGATGTCAAGACTGAACACTTTATCCGTTTGAGGATGTATTTGGTGTTGTCAGTTTTGTGTAAATATAAATTAAGGGATGGTGTTGGAAATAATTTATATTTTAGGAATGTCTTGTTGACCAAGTGATCAGAAAAATAGCAAGTGTACTATTTTCACCGATGTAGTAATAATGAGATTTTCCCAAAGTATCAATCTCGAGGACTACATAGGAAATACTGCGTTTTATTATTAATTAAATTAAACAAAAATAATAGCTTGGGGTTTGATTGGAATAAATCCTTGTGAAATATTAAATGACTGAAAGTAAAATGTGACTTTTTCTGTTTGATTAAAAAATGCTAGGGGTGAGTGTATGATTTGCCATGAAATAACCGTCACTCTTTGATCTCTTAAACAAGTTCATCAACCTTAATTACCGATTCTTAAGATTATCTTTCCTTATGTCCATAGTGAAAAACCTTTAACTTCTACCCTAATTTTAATGTCCATTCAAATTAGTTTTGAGGTTAAGCACTCAATTATCAAGAACTATTCTGGTTATCATAGGATTTCCCTAGTCCTAGGTGAAATCATCTATAATATCACTATTTATAAAACCTTAACACGACTGTCCGACTCTAATGTGTTAATAACAGTGAAACCTTATGGCCCCATAGGGTAAAACTGTAAATTCTTCTAAGCAATCAAATTGATGCATAAAAACTGTTATGTTGAATAAAACAAAGAGATCAGTATTCTTAACATTGCAAATCATAGACACCCCTAGCATTGGGGGGTTTAGCTGCACATAATATTCAAAGGAATTTCACTAAAAATAAAGATAGACATTACACAAATTGATGGTGAACTCTGATTTTCAATGGCTTTCGCTCATGAAAGGTCTTCGTTCTCCCAAAATTTGCATAGACTTCAATCTTCTATCGTGAAATTATTCCTCTGGTTCCAAAAGTCCCTTTTTCATTCTCCAAATTAGGTTTTTATAGTACCCAGTCACCTCTTATCAATCTAAAATGTCCAAAGTACCCTTAATGCTCCAAAAATACATAAAATCTCAAAATTGGAATTTCTAGCGCCTGTCCTGACGGGCCATGTCATCGGACACGAGCACCCATGTCAGCGTTTATGATCTATTGTTTTCCAACATTTGGCCCAGTTGAATTGACATGGGTCGTGTCAGCAGACACGGGCACCCGTGTCAACGCCTGTGATCCTTCCTCCAAAAGTTCATGCTTCAGCTGACTTGACACGGGTAGTGTCGTGTGACACGGGCGCCTGTGTCGCCTTCTTTCTTGCTCCAAATTCACTTTTTCCAAGTCCTCCCCCTGACACGGCCCGTGTCAGGCGACACGGCCACCCGTCAGGGCTCCTGAAGCACTTCTTCTAGAACTCTGAATTCTGCACTTTTCTGCCCCGATTCGTCCCGTTTTATTCTTTTGAACCTGAAAACACTAAAATACAAAATCAAAGTGTAAAATGCAGTAAAATGGAATAAAACACCAGTCAATAAAAAGAAACGATAATTAAAATAAATGCACAATTCCTGTGTAAAAACCACTGATCAAACTCCCCTAAACTTAAACCGTTGCTTGACCTTAAGCGACCATTACAAGTATTGCTGAAAATTACAATAGCCCGGTACTCATACCGTGAGACACCCGTTCAAATTGATAAAAAAATAAGTTTGTCTGATGTTCACATGACGTGACGAGTTTGTTTAAGAATATTTAAATTTAGAGTTTCCTATTTAGATGCCTCTCTAACTATGCTTTGTACTTAAGTCTCTTTCCAATTTTCCTCCTTTTTCATTCGGACAGTCACATTCAGGAAATAAGGATTATGATGATCATCAGACGCACAAGATTGATCAAGAAATTTTTTGCTCAGGCACCAAATAAGAGCTTTTGCTCCTTTATAATTTCAGATGAAATTTTCAAAACTTTTTAGTTTATATATTGTCCTTTATGGACGACGTTGGGGATCAACCCCCTTTGGGCTGAATAAGCTGGTGAAGGCTACCCAATTTAGCGAGTCAGTTTCATTTTAACGCCTTTTCATCATTTGGTTCCAAATTTATTTCTTTCTCCTTCAATCATACATGCATATGAATCCATGTTATGCCAGACTATGGGGATAAACTACTTCAAGAGTACTTCTCAGGATTCAAGCACTATGGTACAAATTTACAAGTTAGACTCGTATCCCTGCTACGTTATTCCGAACTTACTACCCTCAAACAACCATCCCTTTCTCTCTATATAATATTCTCGAACTCTATGAGAATCAAGTTCTTGATTAAAACAATTTTTTTAATCCAATTTGGAGGACTTCAACTTGTGGATTTACACAGCAATTCGTAGAGCACTAACAAATAATTCGAAAAGAAGAAAAGCAATACCCCCCCCCCCCCCCCCCCCCAAACTTGAACTAAACATTGACCCCAATGTTTCGGAACAAGCTCGAGAAGGTGACTCACAAAGGTTAATGCAACACATGTTGCAGCCTCCTTGCTCTCACCAGTAAGACTCCCTTTTTATTACCTGCAAATGAAACAAAAATAAATACTAAGTTATTAAAAGCGTGGGTTACCTCCCACGAAGCACTTTGTTTAACGTCGCATGGCTCGATGATTCCTCCCATTTTGGGGAGTACTTTCTCTTCCACACCTTGTTGCTTGTTTCTTCTCAATCCAGAACTCATTCAAATCAAAAGTCTCAACCCATTCGTGCTTCCAGCCACTTCCAACTTCCATCTTTTCAGTTTGGTGTTCCTTCTTCTTTCTCTTCTTTCCTTGTTGACTGAGCTTAGGAAATTTTATTGATGCCACCTGAGATATTTTTCCTGAGAATTCTTTTGGTTGTGATTTTGAGTTGTTTCATTCTCCTTCTACTTTGATCATTCCGACCAAAGATTTATCCTTTCCACCTGCACCTTGCTTCCTGATTTCCAACACCTTTAGAGTTATCTCCTCATCAAACATATCAGTGTCAGATTATCGGTCTCAATTTCAAAATTACATCGACTAGTCAGCATAAATGGTCGACCAAGAATGATAGGAGTCTCTTCATCTTCATGTATGTCCATGATCTGAAAATCAAATGGGAAAACAAAATTGTCAATTTCCACTAATACATATTCAGCTATCCCATATGACTCCTTGATGGTGTGATCAACAAATTTCAATTTTGTCCTACTCCCCCTTTATCTTCTCAATAACGAGCTTCTTGAAAATCGATAATGGCATTAACCTTACACTAGATCCAGAATCAACCAGAACCCTATTGAAAGCTCTGTCTTTTACTGTTCATGGTATTGCAACTGACCTCGGGTCCCTCTACTTGATAGGTATTTTTCTCGGGCGCAATTATACATAATTTCTCATCAACAGGTACCGATCCTTCTCATGTTGATATCTTCTTTGATAATAGTTCCTTCATGAATTTCTGATACAAAGGAATTTTCTCGAGTGCTTCAAATAATGGTATGTGAATCTCTAGCTTTTTGAAAATTTTAACAAAAATTTCAAAATCTTTTTCTTTTGTGTCCTTCTTTGCCATTTGAGATGGGTACGACAACTTGATCAATGGTTTAGTCTTCTCTTCAAGTGGCTTCACAAGAGATACCACTTCTTCCCATTTGTTCCTGTTCTCTCTCACTTCCAGCTCTACTTCTATGATATTATCATCAAAATTCATTTCATTTTCTTTTTCTCTATTAACTTTCTCACTCCTTGTTTTGACAACATTCACATTCTCATGACTTTTCTGACTTTCTTGTGCTCGCTGCACTACCTGTTATGCAATCTAATGTAACTGGTTTTAAATACAGAGTCATCACCTTTAATTTTTATCCTAAGGAATGGAGTATAAAGGAATAACCCTAAAAAGTTCAGAGATTCTATGTTTGACTTGATTCTAGACGAAGGGAAGGTGTTAGACACCCCTTATCTACCTTGTTCACAAGGATACTAGGTTTAGAAGCACGCTTTTTAGGAAATAGGGTTTTAATTAATTAGGGGAACTCACCACGATTTTAATTGTATGCCTACGTATCCTCTTAGGAGGAATAAGAGTCGCATTTCGTAGATCACGGTTTAGTTGGTGTTTTTTATAAGATTACTTAGAATTGCTTTCGAATTATCCTTGAACCTTGTCTGGGTTGTAAGTTGAGTGATTGTAGACACATTTCGCAGTTTGATTAAAAAACAATGCTATTTAATCCTTTTTGAAAATAAGCTTGTAGTTTTTGTTATGTTAGTAGGAAAAATAATTTGAATTGTTGGTTAGCTGTTTTGAGTTTTGAATTGATTAACGAGTATGATAAGACATAGAGTGGGGGAGTCTGATATAGTATCCTCATCACGTGGCTAGATATTGGCCATGTGTCATTCGCGGATGGTGAATTTGGTGAGTTGTATGGATTTTAATATCTTGAGTGATGTATTGAGGAAGAAGACGTTGTGAACTTTGTCTTTATTGATTGCTTCCTCAACCTTTGTTGATGTGCACGAGAAAGATGATGTAATTGAAGCTTTGCTTAGATCATTTCCTCAATGATGTATCGAGGATGGAGATATGCTTGAACCTTTGCTCAGATGGCTTGATTCTCTTGATATTTGAATGCACTAGTGAATTAATTGAAAGACTACCCTGCCCCTAGTTGAAATTAAGGTTTTTTTTTAAAATATAAAAAACTCCAACTCCTGGATCGAGGGGGTTGACTACGGATTATATTCTTATATCTCCACTGTTTGGGAAGTGAAATAATGCCTTACATCGCCAACTTGGTCTTACCATTGAAAGCATAGTTTAGCAAAATTCTTGTTATTTAATTTTTATCATTCTCCCTCGAAGTTTGTTTAAAGAAAATTAAGAATGGAAGAGTCAAAGATGAAATGTAAAGTGATGAAATAGTGAATACGAATGGATTGATTTCAAAATATGCACGCTTATTTTTTTAGAGTTACTCATCCAAAGATACAAGTTTATACCAAATACAACTTAACAACTAGGAAATTACAATTTGAAATTGATAAAGTCTAGTGACCCTATGGAAGAGCTTTTTTGTTGATCCACTTGACTTTAGGAGATGCTTCGTAATTCTTGAACTTTTCAAAGCATGAGGATGACCCTTGATTCTTCTCGGGCATACCAATTTTGTTGATAGGGCAATTGCTCTTGATATAAAGGAATCACCAATGGTAGTGGCATTTGAGGCGATGTGTAGGCCCGTAGTTATCACGGTGAAAGACTACATTCTCTCTCCAATAAGAATTGTAAGACCAAGTTCAATTGAGTCTCCAATGCTTAATCTCCTCCTTCCACAATTTCATACTTTCTTAAGTTTATTTGCGGGTACCAAGAAATCAGCTAGCATATGGGTGATAGTTGGATAAGAGTGAAGGTGGAAATGCATGAGATGCAAATGTATGAATGTATGTGAATGCATGGGTTTGCAAAAAAAATTGTTTTTAAAGGTATGCTAAAAATTTCATGAAGATGCAATGCGACGTGGGCATAGTATGAGGGTAGACGTAGGGGTACCCTTTAAAGGTTTAATGGTAGATATGAAAATAATGATGTCCTACACTGACTCAGGGATTAAGATAGGCATGAACACCTTAAGAATAAAGAAAGACGAAGAAGAATCCCTATAGGCTAGGGATTAATATTTTCAAAAGAAAAATCCCTACTGGCTAGGGGGTATAAAAAGACGGAAGTTCTACGGACTAAAGATAATAGCGTAATAAAAGATAACCCTTGCGGGTTTAGGGCTTGTAGTGGGATTTGTGAAAGGTAGGCTCATAGTTTTGGCCTACGGATATTCTACCCTCTGTTTCCAGTGATTTCTGGTAAACAACCGCTAGTCTTCCAAACTATCGAATAATCTTTATTAACGCTACTCAATCTCTCTGGTAACTCACAGGATCGACTAGATTGATCCTAGGACTCCTTGGATATTAAAGTTACTCTCACAATCGAACAATTATTCATGGTTGCTATTGTACAAGTGTTTGGTTTATTTCGATCCCTCTCTCTAAGAGTTTAAAAATGTGGTCAAAATGTATATGAAAACTAAGTTATACGAATAAATGCTAATTGTAATGCTGATTGAAGAGACATATAAAACTGTATGAAATCTGAAGTAAATGGTTTCGATTTGCAAAACATTTAACATAAAAGGTTTCTGGAATGTAGAAGTTTAAAATGTGAAGAAAGCGTTTAATGCAATTTTAAGTAAAAGGATGCGTTTAAAACAATACTTGGAAGTAAAGGTATTGAAAGCGTAACAGTTCTCTGAAATATAAAGTGCTCGAAATATAAAGAAAGCATTAAAGAGTAAAACTTTGAGGAAAAGACTTTGAAATGAAAAGACAATAAATAAAGAAACTTGCAAATGTTGTTCGACAAAAAGAAAAGAGGAAAGTACTGGAAATGGTAAAAAGGCTTTC